AGGGCACTGGAGCGCCTTCGCCGTCCTCGGGTCTCCCGGGGCCCGCCTTCCCCCAGCCTTCCGTCGGGCACGTCCCTCTACAGAAGGAAAACTCAAACATAGTAGAAACATAGTCTGGGGACGATTTTTTGTGTGTTTTTTTTTGGTGTGTGTGTGTGGGATTATTTTGGACTATTTTTGAATGTGTTAGGTTTTTTTTGTTTGTTCTAATTTTTAATTTTTGTCCAACATCCGCCTGTAGGGGGACACGCCCGACCTAACCCCAGCCCCCAACTAGACACGCCTCCGGGGCGGGAAGCCGGTCGGTCCCTCGGGGTGGACGAGGCCCCGGCCAGGAGCCTCGAGACGGGGGCCAATACAAACGGGGCTCAGCTGGAGCGCTGCATCTTGTAGGATCCTATAGAGCCATGGGTTCTAGGTCTCCCTGATGGGGTCGGAGGAGATGAGGTCGGAGGACCGTTCTGTATCGTCGATGCATCGGCGATGCGGCTCGATGCGGAACCCGATTTTCCCCACGCCGACGGCGCCGATGCTTCGCCGACGTCGACGATGCATCATCGGTGCAGCGGTGCATCGGCGATGCGGCGCGATCCTCCGACCCCATCGGCACTCGGACCCCATCCAGGAGGCCCCTGTGGGTGCATTGACCCAGGCTCGCGTGCCAGATCTTGCAGGATCCTGCGGGCTCTTGCAGGATCCTGCAGGGCCTGACCGACCTGGGCTTGCAGCGCCCGGGTCCGTGCGTCCCCGGCCCACGGCCCAGGACTCTGGAGGTCGGAACGGGGCGTGGCGCAGAGGGGTATGGTGGTGCCAATCGTGGAAGTGGCGATGCCAAGCTCCACGAGTACGAGCCAATCGTGGAAGTGCCGAGCATGTGCGAGGAGCAACGTCGCCAGAGTCCCCTGCACCCAAGATTCACACCACACCCCTTTATGTACCATACCCCTTTCCCACCTCCGGCAGGACCCGCTTCCCTCGGGACCCGCTTGCCCTCGCGGTGAAGGGACGGCGCCTCGGGTGGCGAGGGCCCGAGTCCGGCTCTCTCCCGCTGCGGCGATCCTCGCGGGTCGCCCGCGTGGCGCCACCGCCCCCGTTCGGCGGGCCTCTCGCGCGGATCGTGGCCGACAAGAGGGGAGCTCCGCCTGCGGAGCTCGAGCTGCGGCCACCGCGGACGCGCCTGCATGGCGCCACCGGTCCAGGTCGTTCGGTAGCAGGTCACGGGAGCCTGGTCTGCCCCCCCTACTTCCGTCCGTCGCGTCGGCAAGCGTCGATCAGCGTC